ATTGTCAACTTTCCCTCCAAAATGCTTTGTCATTTTACACTCCCATCAATGTTATATGAGAGTAAGCAATGTTCCCTTTTTCTGGAATTGGACTGGAACAGTTTGAAAATACTTGTTTTAGTTTACTTCTGTTGTTACATACCCCACCCCCAGAACCTCACACTTCTCATGTGACTCAAGATGCTAGTTAGTGGGAGCCAAATAAGAAATACAACTGAAGATGCCAGGTAGGGTGTCAGAAAGAACACAGAACTGAGAGTGGGAGACTTGGTTTCCAGGGCCATCTCTCTGAGGCATCGGACAGGCTACTTTAAATGCCTGGGCATCCATTCCCTCATCTGTGAAATGCAGATCATAATAATTGCCTTAGTACACTGTTGTGAGGATCAAACAGGGAAGTGCAAAAGTGGTTTGTAACTTGTGAAGCAGGGTACACATGCCAAGTGGTTATTGTGGTAGTGTTGTAATTATATCCTTAAATTAATGAGCTTGGGGAAGGGAATGGGGGACTGTGAGAGCTTAGTGGGAAAATAAACACAGATGAAATCTTTAAGACATTTCTGCTTCACTGAAAATTCACATGCAGTTGTCTATATTCTTGGAGAACAAGCCACATTGGCAGTAAAGATTGACTGATGGCATCAAGAATAAAATAGGTTATCCCTTTCACAGGAAGACTAAAGTCTTTGCGCTAGGCTTGACTCCTAAGGACAGTCCTCTTTCTATGACATTGCTATGCTTTAATTTGTCAAGCACCTAATAGGATTTTGGCCCCATGCTACTTTCTATAAACATCAGGGAGAGAAGAAATACACATGAAATGTTCAAATAACTATGTGTGGTGACTGCATAAATAGCTCTGAGTTATAGCAGAGGTATGAGGGAAGATTAGAGTGAAATCAAATACCTTTTAATTAGTATTTAAATCAATAGCCTAGCCCTGCTGGGCGTGGCTCAGCAGTTGAGCACTGACCTAGGATCCAGGAGATGGAGATTCCATTCCCTGTCTGGGCACGATGCCCAGTTGGGGGAGTGCAGGAGGCAGTTGATCAATGACTCTCTCATCATTGATATTTCTATCTCTATCTCTCCCTCTCTTTTCCTTTCTCTGAAATCAATAAAGATATATATTTTTTAAAAAAATCAATAGCCTAGAAGACCCAAGTTAAATCAGCCAGGAAAATCCAGTTATATCTTTTTATTTCTTAAAAAAAGCATTGTTATTGTTTAAAAAATAACTCAAATAAGTGCATTTTACAAATTAGAAATGTAACATTTAAGTGAATGACATTCATTTTTAGATCAGAGCTTTTTAAAATTACATTTACCATGATGTAAAAACAGAAATGAATGTGATGGGTTACTTTTTTTTAACCTCAAAGTTAATTTTAAAAATATCTGTAAAATCATTGGAAACAAGACCATCTTGATTTCAACCTATTAATCAGGGATTTGAGAAGGAGGGTGATGGGTGATAAGAGACAAATAACCACCATGCAAAAAAAAAAAAAAAAAAAAAAAGCTACCAAAAATGCCTGATTTTTAAAAACCACCAATCTGGTATACTCTTGTGTTTTGTTGTTGTTGTTTTTTCAAAGCAAATATGTATTTTAACCAAACCACGTAGCCTAGGCTTTGGGCTCAAATCTGAGCTCTGACGCTCTTCAATGTTCATGTAATACTCATATATGCACAGGTATATTTTAATGAAGAAAAATTAAAAGTAAAATGCAAAGTGATCCCTTTAAAAGTCTAGAGTATGTAGATCACTTTGTCTTCCTCTTTCCTGCTTTGGAAGGGCCATTTTTGTTCTCTTTTTCAATTCTCAGTATCATCACATTTTAAAAATAAATTAGTCCGAAGAAGTATCCCATTTTCTAACTTCCCCAGATGTTGCCTCTGATAAATCTAGAGCTTGTTTTGTGGCCTTTCCTAAAAGTGGCAGTTATATTAGTTCACTCTCAGTGTTGAGACTTATTTTATTGGCATTATGGAAAAATGATTGCTGGATGTTAGAAAGAGTTGATAAAATTGGATAAAAGTGCACTGGGAGTGTCATGACCCATTTTTACCATTTAAGTATGTGAGGATATATTTATCTTTATAAAAAAATAAGTTTGAAAGTGGAGAGGAAAAATCACCCATAATCCTATTATTTTAACCCAACTATTATAATTTCCTGTCTTTTTCTGATCTTGATTTACAGGCATATTTTACATCATTAAAATTTGAATGAGCTTATTATTTTGCATTCATTGTCATTTTTTATGACAGTTTAAAGTCTCCTTGCTGGGATTTACCATGATTTACATAAGCTAGACAAATTCTAGAGTGGGGGTATGGATTTGGGAATAGCAAAATATTTTTGGAGTTAGATTTTAGGCGTTGGACACAAGCAAAAATTGAATTCTTTTTTTAAAGACAAAAGAGGCACACATTTTGATGAAATTAACTGTATCTATATCTATGTATATATTTATCTATCTATATAAACTTGAATTAGATTAATTATTCCTTCTTTGGTGTAATGCTCTGTTTCAAAATGCATGTTTCATGTGCAGAAAGGTAGTTTCCCTATCTGGATTGTCATCTCTTTGAATCCCAACGCCATATCTGTCTCTGAGTTTACTGTGTATTCCAGAGAATCCATCATATTGCCTGTTTGCCTGACAGGTGGTGTTCCAAATCCAAACCATTTTCCTTCCAAAAGAGTGCTGGTGTAGCTGGACAGATTTCCTCCCCTAAAAACTTATCTGAAATCCAAGTCTTCCTGAAGGAATCAGTTAAGGAAGAGAAATGAAATACTCCCTCTCCTTCTACTGGAAGGCGAGCCTCTTTCTTGAGGCTAGACCTCTGCCTAGACAACACTCACAGTGTACAAGTTTCCATTTCATTTTCCTTTCCCTCATCCTGCTCCCCCTTTTTTCCTTCCAATGCACTTCCTGCCTGGAAACAAAAGATTGGTCCCCAGTAGCCCACTCATGGAGATTTTAGTTTGATGCTCATATTCTGATTGGCCTATGTACTGCGCAGAGCACCGGTGATGTCATAGCAGAGCAGGGCTAGGGAGCAGTTGCGAGCACGGCTCCACCACAGGCTGGCAGCTGGCAGCTGGCAGCTGGCAGCTGGCAGCTGGCAGCTGGCAGCTGGCAGCTGGCAGCTGGCAGCTGG